GAAGGTGTAGCTAATACAGCTATTAGCAGAGGCTTGACCTTTTATAGTGACTCTTCTCTTGGCAGGAGTGGAGTTCAGTTGTGTTCCAGGTCTCCTGCTGCCTCAGGTATTATTCAACTGTTGCTTTTTACATATGTACATGGTAGATGTTGGCTGCTGATGTTGCAGATGTTGGTGTGCTTTTTGCTTGGTTGGAGTCCATCTACCTTGAGCACACAAACCAGTATGGGGGGATGCAGTGTGGTCACAGCTCTCTCCGTGATCGTCTGGTAATTGTGCTTATTTCAGCAGTTTCTTATTAATTTCATGTTATTGAGACTTTAACAGGAAATGGTCTGTGTTTTCCCATTGTACTGTAACTAGCTGCTTCTCTGGGATTTCAGGAAAAATGAGAGATTGTGTGTGCCCTAATATCAATGTGCTTACAGATCAGCCTGTGTTTTGGTATAAGATGGTTTTCTGCGATTTGTAGGATGCATTGGTGCTTCTTATAATAGGATGTGCAACTAACCATCTACTTGAAACTATTTTCTGGTGAATTAACTTTGCTTTTTATGTGGTTGTTATTTCTGTGAGGTCGTGTAATATTAAAACGAATTCTGTCAGGCAGCTCCTGAGTATTCTAATCATCAAGATCAACGTATTTTTATTAGGTCACCTGTGACAAAGCAGAGATAACTACAATGCTTATCTTCAACCACTGTGCACGTGCCGTCACGTAACGCTACCCACGTATAAGCATCCGCGTTCCCAGACCCGTAGTGCTATCAGAGTGGACCTCTGTTCAAGTTGATGCAATTTCAGTTGCCTGAGGCAAGTAGTTAACCAGGGTTGACTTTCCAGTGACAGCTTTTTCAAATAGAAGTTTTCTGTAGAGATTTCGTTTTAAAGGTCCTAGTTCTTCAGAACTGAAGCATTGCTTAATGTATGCGTAGAGGACACCCACAGTTGATGCATGTTATGATTCCACAGTCATGCAACACAGGCGGCAGAGATATGTTTTTGTAAAAGGATGCCTAATTTCTTACCAGTGATCTTTCAAGTGCTTTTGGAGGCTGATGGCTATCCTCAGATAAAGGCTGAGGAAAGAATGAACTTTATAGTCATTGCTTCACAAGCTGCGCGGTTCAATGAGGATTTGGGAAAAGTTCATGAAAGTTTTTGGAAATTCTAGAAGGTTTTTATGCAGAAGGAAAATGTTAGGTTTAAATGTGTAGTTTGCTGGCCTTAGCTGTAGCTTGGTGTCTAGGAAACAGGGACAGGTGAGCTGAAGCTTCAGACATGATGTGTCCTTTCATACCTCATCTCTGCTTGCAGGAAAAATAAATTAAGTAGAAGGTAAACCAGCAGTTGATATTTGATTCTTTCTTTTTTGCAATAGAAGATTGATATCCTTTGATTTTCTGTAAAATTGTTAGTATTTGAGGATTTCAAAAGAATGCCAAATACTTAAAAAAAAAAAAAATCTTGTAATAGTCTCTTTTTATACAAGGAAACAAAAGCACAGAAAAGTAACCGATCTCTCTGGCTTTATCAAAGACAAAGCATGGAATAGTGGCGGCAATAGCCAGGATTCCTGAGTAACAGAAATACTAATGCTGAAGACAATTTACAGAGATTTCATAAATAAGCTAACTTGTCTGTAAGCAAAGAATGGTGCTGCTGTTGGAACTGTTCTTTTGAAATGGTACCTTTTTCTTGAAATGGGTATTAATAATCCAGGGGAATGAGCGTTGGGTCAAGGAATTGCATTCTGTGGTATTGTCCTCAGTAAGCCTGCGGGTTCTTTTTGTCTTTGATCATAAGCTTCTTTTGTGTATATTATATAACAAGTAGAAGTCACGGAGAGATGGATGACTTCCATCAAACTTAATGATGACAGTTTCATTCCTGAGCGTGGCAGCATATTTATTTATATCTGCATATATGTGTGTGTGTTTAAAAAAAAAAAAAAATTACTTTTGTTTTTGTGTTTTGGAATCCCCGTTCTTGTGCTTCTCATTTTCAGCTGAGAGGGAAATTGTCAAAATAAGATAAGGCTTTGAGATTTTTGTCTCAGCTCTCCCCTCTTTGGTGCTTTGGAGTTACGCTGTTTGTGACTCCTTTCACTTGCTTCTCAGTATCCTTCTCTTCCAGTCTTTGATTGCTATCTAGTCAGATAGTATTTACCATGACATTAAAGGAAAAGCAGGTTCTGTCTGATGTGCTTGAATGGGAGATTTTGGAAAGCGATGTGTGTATGAAAGTGATGTTCTTTGCAAATCAGTCAGCATCTCCTTTGAGTTTAAACAAAACATGAGCCCACCTTCCACGCTTACTTCCCAGTGTGAGCACCAAGTATTCCAAAGGGTGATCTCTTGTGAGGGAGAAGGAAAGCCAAGATAACTCACTACTGACAGAATCTTAAGGATTTTTCCATCTGGAATAAAAGATTTTTGTAGCTTGACAGAAAATCAATGCTTTCTCATTCTTATTAGGCCTGTAGCAACATCATCTATAGACATCTCTACACCAGGGAAAATTTCATTTAAAGTTCCCATCATTGCAGCCATGCTGCTGCTAAGAAATCTTGGGATTCCTCATGCAGCTGAGGTTCCCTTAGTCCTCCTTGTGCTAACAGCATCAGGATGTCTCACGAAGGGCAGGTTCCCATGATCACATTTGTTGCTAACTCTTCAAATTATATCTCCTTAGAAAAAACTGACCTCTGTTCTAAGTATGACTGCGGGAATGCAGCTTTGTCAGTGTTAAATCTTTCAATACTGCCAGCATCTGTACAACTGCAGGAGTGGTAAATACAATGATTTACATTGTCAAAGTCCTAGAACAACACAGCAGAGTATAATCTCTTGTGTATTTTGGCAAAACACATATGCTACCACTGGGAAATCTTTTCCTTATATCTGAAGTGCTGAGAAGGTAATCAACTAATTTTAGCAGTTGTTTGAGTAGGAATGTTCTTGTGTGTACATGAGCCTATCGCAAAGACGTTCTCATTATAGTTTGAATACGAACACATGAAAGCTAATGGCAATAACTAATAAAAGCAGTAAGAGGAGTGAGAGATTATGGAGAGGGTGTCTGTTTTAAAAGAAAGCATCATTCAACTTCAACTGCCTGCTAGGCACTTCCTTGGAGGGTAGCTCGACCCTTTTTGTGTCTGATCCAGTAGTCAGAGCACCATGAGACTGGAGTGGCAAGAATCAGGCCGTGGTGCAGTTTCTTAAAAGATGAAGGAGAGAACAGGCAGCCCTTGAAGAAGCCTAGCATTCAGAATATGTGAGGCATCTGAAAATTGGAAAGGAGCTGAAGTGAATTACTAAGCAGAGCTAGGGACCAACATAAACTAACAAGTATAAATGTAAGCCTGAAATGATCAGCTAAAGCCAGGCACATTTGAGTGTGTGTGTATGAGAGATTTTTGCTAAAAGCAAAGAGTGAGTGAGTGATATATCGCTTGATGCTCTTTAGAAGAAAATGGTTGCAATCCGAATCATTTTGCTGTTAAATGTATTTGAAAAATAGAAAACCTATGTTGGATATATGTTCTGCAAATAGTTATCAACGATGTTCCAGAGGTATTTTGTTTGGGGGGTTCCTGGGAATTCACCATTCAAATCTACATGTGTCTTGAGTTATCTTGAAATTGACTGTCATTCTATAATATGGTAAAGTGAGGGCATTGCAGAGGTTAACTTTAGCCTAGCGAAGCCTGTGATCCTGTTGTTCTCAGTGGCGAGGATCTTCCAAAGGGGTTAATTCAGCGTCTGTAAAAATGAGTGTTTTGCTCGTGTTTTAGAGGCGCTGCCTCTCTCTGTGGTCTATAGAAGGCTAAACTCAGTCTGTAGTCCTTTGAACACCCCTTATTCACGGTTATATTTAAGCAAATCCTTGATACTAGAAAAAGATACCTTTTGTCTCTCCATATATGGATACTAGCCTGATGATTGCAGTTACATAAATGAAGATTACTGAGAAGGGTTCCAGATTCTGATTTTTTTTTTTGTCTGTTGTCCTTTGTATGGTTTTAAGAAATTTCATTGCATCCTCTTGGTTCCACTGAACAAAACTGTAAATCCACCAGTGCAAAGTTGTAAAATATTCACGGTTGGTTTTGATTCCACACGCCCC